CGCAGGGCCTCCTTATCCCATCGCCCCCCCTCCCACCACGCCCCCTCCGGCCCGCAGCCGCCTCTTCCCAGGATCCGGCTGTCTAGCTGCTCCGGGGAAAGGGGACAGCTGGTGGGGGGAGGAGAAGGGGACAAGGGAGGGGGCGAGGCCGGGGGAGGGGTGGAGGGAGCGGGGACTCGGAATGTGCGAGGCCCCAGGCAGCAGAGGCTGGCAGGGCAGCTTGCTGGGGCCAAGCCTGGACCCTGAACCGCTGAAGAGAATTCCTTCCAAGTTCTGGCCACCTGCCGCACAGGCCCGGCTTTGGCCCAGGTACAGCATCTGGCCCCCCAACAAAGGCCCTGCCCCTGGGGCGCTCAAGCAAGACTGCAGTTGCCTTTTGGCAGCCAGACCCCTTGTTACATCTTATGGCAGTTACTCCCATAGACAAAGACCCTGACTTGTCTTTCTAGTCCTCATTCCTTTCCCTCCTCCCTAGACTCTATCCCCAGGTGGAGGAGAGCATCTTATTCAAAAGATGCTCAGGCTAAATTTGGCAACTGAGTGGTCAGGCACCTGCAAGAAGGTCAAGGCAGAGTAGGACTCCCAGGTTATCCAAAATGGTTTCTGATAATACGCCAACCTCCTTGGAAGTACCCCTGCTCTGATCCTATCATATTTTTGGAGGGTCCACACATCTCAGCATATGGATGTACCATCCATGATGTGACCCTGTTTCCCTTGATAAGCCATCTTCCCGAAAGTGAAACCAAGTTCTTCCATTGAGAGGAGAATGCACATTAAAAAGGCCCTTTGACTATGCTCTAGATATCTCAGGATCTGAAAAGTGCCAATTCTAGAGAGTATGCTCACTTCACTCTCAGGCCAGCACACAGTCATGTGCCTCTCCTGGACTTGGTAACAGGTCTAGGCCCTGATGGCTTGTGGGGCAGCCATTTTTTCACAGAAGATATTTGTGAAAACAAAACACTGAGACAGAGATCTGTCCAGAATATGTTAAGCTGGAAAGAGACTATGCTTCACAAAGGAAAAGGGTTGATTTGTAGATAGTGAGGTTAAAAAAAATGAGGTAGTGCTGGTCTGCTTTGTTGTATATAGTCACCAAATGAGTACAGAAAGAAAGTGATATGCCCTTCTGCACACCTTCAAAATCAAGCTGCCTGTTCAAGATCATTCATTCCAGGGGTCATTCAACCTGCAATTACCATGGATTTAAAAAGGAAGGTTTTCTGGTGTCTCTTCCCTAGCCATTCTTCAGTCCACCATCCATCAGGGGCTGTAGCCTTCTGCATGTTGAAGTGAGGCTGGCACCGAACGATATCCAGGGTCTCAAATAGAGCCTTGCTTCACAACCTCTAAACAACCCTCAGAGGCATTCCACATGACCCTGGCTCCCTCCTAATCACCTTGCCTCAATGGTCTCACCTCAGAGGGGCTCAGGGAAGAGTCGTTAAAGTGACTTGGCTTGATGGATGCCAGAGGACACAGCTAGGGAATTTTCAAAACAGTACCAACCTAGGAATATGACTGCTGAGCTAAAAGACCGCTTTTTTTCTGTTAAAACATACCCGGAAATATCCACAAAATTTTTTTGAAGGGAGGATGAAGAAGACCTTTAACTCTAACATGAAAATAATCATTTAAACTTGTCTTGTACTTTCCAACAACCTTTTGAGTTAGTGGGATTATTCCTGTTTTCAGAAGAGGAAACTGAGATTCAGAATGGTTAAGTAGCAGTTTGACCTTGTTCTTCTTAGTTCTAACATATTACTTGTGTCACATGGGTAATATCCATGAGCTACCTCTGTTTTCCCACCTCTCTCTCATCTGGAACTTTCTAGAGTTCAGTACTTTCTGTCAAAGCTGCTCTTTGTAAGTTCACCAGCCAAATTCAAGGGTCTCTGCTCAGTTTGCAACTTTGACCTCAAGGATGAATTTGATACCATCAACCGCCCACTCCTTCCTGTAACTGTCCTATCCTTGGCTCTCATGGCATTGCATTCTCAAGTTTCTCTTCTTATCTCTCTGACCCCATCATTCTCTGTTTTCTTTGCTGGCGCCTCTTCTTTCCTCCTTCCATTAACTATTGGAATCCCTGAAGACGCAAACCTTAGCTATTTCTCTCTTAACACCCATTTCCTTGGAAAGTGTTTCCTTACATGTTTCACCTACTACCTGGCATATATTGGCCAAATTTGAATCTCTAATTTTGATTATAGGTAGCATCCCTCAGATCCATCTGCTCCTTCCTTTCTGGTTTTATTCCCACAAGCTTAATCCAAGCTCTCATTACTTCAGGTCAAATATGCAAACTGAGAGTCTCCTGGCAGATCGCCCTGCCTACAACCCAATCCACCATGCTATGGCCACAAGAATTCTCCTCCAACACCACTTCTATCAATTCACGCCTGTATTTAGAAACCCACAGTTGTTCCTCGTTGTTTCTTTAATCGAGTTCAATCTTCTTTGGTGTGCTGTAAGTTCCCACCAGCAAATAGACATCATCTCCTCCTCTTTGAATTTGAAAAATAGTATATTCCTGGAGTTTTTATGCAAGACTCTGTGCCTTTCATCTTCCTCAAAAGTCTCTGACTGAAGGAAGCTTGCTTAATGCCCCTGTTTATGCTCTCGGATTCTTCACAGTGCACCCCTTCACAATGTACCCCTTCTTCACAATGCACAATGCAGAAACTTTGGAAAACACAGGAAAGCACCAGGGAAAGATTACCAAGTGTGCATCTCTCTCTCTCTCTCTCTCTCTCTCTCTCTCTCATTGTTTTGTGGACTTTTTCACTCAACAGCATATTGTACATTGTCCCCATGTCAATTGCTATTTTTCTATGGCATCATTCTATTACCTACACAGTGTTTTAGACGATGGATCTACCATACTTTATTTAAATTTGCCCATTATTGTAGGATTTCTGTTATTTCAGGATTTTTTTTAATAAAAATAACGTTTTAATGAACACACACAAAGCTACTTCTGGTTCCATTTAAAGAATCATTATTGGAGAGAAAGCAAGTTACTAACCTACAGAAGACTGGTGTGGGGAGTGGTGAATGTGTAGAAAAGGGAAGAGACAGAAATGGAAAGTTGCAATAAAATCTAAAAGGGCCCAACCCTCTGAAAAAACAACAGGGGTGTGTGTGTTTGTGTGTGTGTGTGTGTGCGTGCGTGCGTGCGTGCGTGTGTGTGTGTGTGCATTGTACCTTTTTTTTCAAATTGGGGAATGCTGGGCTTCCCTTTAAATCCCAGTTCCAGGCCAACCATGAATGGCTGTGATGCCAGTTCCTTTCTCTACCACACTTAATGAAACTACAAATTCACCAGACAAGCATTGATTCTCATTTCTCCCCAGCATCCACCATCATTCCACACTCACCTCATACCTGTCAAATAATCATCTGTTTATCCATCATCTGGAATTTTCTTATTTCCAAAATGGCAATCAAGTGTGTTGACAAAGGGAAGAAATTTATAATCATGTATTTAGACTTTCAAAGTCTTGGATAAGGTTCTATTCCAAGGTTATTTTAAAAGTACAACTGAGGCACCATAGATAGGAAATACTTTTGCCATTCCTTGAGACTGTGAGTGCTTCCTACCAATAGTGCAGCTCCCTGGACATTGGTTCAAGGGATAGGCACTAATGGTTAAACGTTGTTGGAGCCCAGGAGACTGGCAAAACCACAATGAACAGCCGGGCGTGGTAGCACGTGCCTGTAGTTCCAGCTACTTGGAAGGCTGAGGCGGAAGGATCGCTGGAACCCAGCAGGTTAAGGCTGCGGTGGCTGGGAGCATGCCACTGTACTGCAGTCTGGGCGACGGAGTGAAACTCCAACTCAAAAAAAAAAAACAAACCCAAAAAACAAAACATCACAATGGGCTCTGAAAGAGGGAAGGGAAAAAGGCTTCATAAGGCATCAACTATAGGTTGAGAAATAATCACTCATTCATTTATTCATTCATTCAACAAATATTTATTGCCTGTTACTTTGTGCAAGGCACTGTGCTGGGTCCTAGGGACACATCAGTAAGTTACATCAGTGAACATTCTGTGCTTTCCTAACTTTCACAGTCACTTCTTTGTGAACTGGGGACAAATAGGGAGCACCAGGACATGGAACCAGGTGAGCAGTGAACAGGAAGGCCAGCCAGAATTTTGGTTTAGAGAGAATTGTGACTCTGGACCCAAGATCTAAGCACTAGAGTCCAAAGCCTTGTTTGCAAAAAGGAAGATCCCGCCGGGCACAGTGGCTCTCGCCTGTAATCCCACCACTTATGGGAGGCCAAGGTGGGAGAATCACTTGAGCCCAGGAACTCAACACCAGTCTAGGCAACATATCAAGACCTCCTCTTAGCAGGGTATGGTGACATAGTCCCAGCTATTCTGGAGGCTGAGACAGAAGGATCGCCTAAGCCCAGAAGGTCAAGACTGCAGTGAGCCCTGTGATTGTGCCACCTCACTCCAGCCTGGTAGACAGAGTGAGACCCTGACTCAAGAAAACAAAAAACAAAAAGAAGACCCTATGTGGTCTGAGTTCCCTGTCCTTGGTTATGTTGCTATCCTCTATACTTGCTCCTAGCAGCACCATCTTTAGAATGTGGCCTACCACAAATTACCACAGTAGATCTATCTTCAAAAGAATGACAAGAACAAAATGGGACAATTCCTGTGTCCATCTGGGACTTCTGAGTTGTTCTGTGGGAGCAACTTGGGTTTGATAAAGATCATGACATCTGTAGGTTGGAATGGGCCTCAGAGGTTTCAAATGCCTTTCTTAGAGACCTCTTACAGATCTTCGTGGGCTTGTGCTGAGACCCCCCTATACCCAGGCCACATACTGGAGCATCAATATAGTCTCTGATCTCACTTACTGAGTGCTTAGCATGTGCCAGGTATGTTACATACATTA